CCTAGAGCTCACCCAGTGTCAGTTTAATATAGCGTAATATTGTTTTTGGATGGTAAAAAGTGCAGGGGTCAAAACTTAACTTTGGAAAAAAGTGGGGGGACATGTCCCCCCTGTCTCCCCCCAAAATTACGTCCATGGTTTTTACCAACGGAGCCGTGGCTTTCGTCAGCTGCTTTTCAGGTCTTTTTTCCTCTCGCACGTTCCCCCGCTGCCAATCATCTCGAAGATTAAGCCATCTGCGTCTGATCACTGACCAATCAGATCAGAACTCGCTGACCGACAGGAGAAACGCTCGCAGTGATTCCCGTGACCAGCTCTTAAACTCCTGCAGACCTTTTACTGTCTCGCCTTCCTCTCAGTGCACATTTTCATCTCTCCTCCATCTGAATCCACCCTTCTTCCCATTGGTTACCTTTTAAACGGATGTTGCCTTAGGTATCATTTATGTTACACAAACCAAAAAGGAAACGGTCTTTTTATTCTGTTTTTTTTAACTGAGCAGAAGTGACAGCGTGTGGGGAATCTGAAACTGTCTGCCGCTCTTTGTTTTCACTTATTTTTTATAATCATTAGAAGTGTGTGTTTGATACTTAGGCCTTGATCGAGTGGTTCTGTTGAGACAAACGCTGACCAGTGGTCTGTTTTTGTTGTGATCATGATGACACTTCTCAATGCCAAGCCTTGGATTGATGTGTAGTTGAACAAAAAAAAAAACATTCAGATGCATTCTGGTGCGATTGCTTTTGCCTTTTTCTGTGGCGTTTCCAGACTGAGCTCTCTGCGAATTCATTTCATTGGTCAGATTGTACCAGCAGGTGAGTTAAGTCAGTAGTGGATTCATTATTATTATTATTTTTTCTAAACCAGGTTTGGATGATTCTACCTTCTTAGACTGTTATTGACGAGTCCGTTTTTTACTGTTGGAGAACGTTGCAAAAAAAAAAGAACAAAAAAAACACTGATTATTATAATTGAGGCTAAATACACGAGCTAAACAATGCAGTTTGGAGTGATGCTGGTACTGTTTTGTCTTTGAACACGATTGGATAAACAAACAAATGTAGCAATATCTACAACAGGTTTTGGTTTTGCCCAATTTTGTTACACTTTTATGCAACTTTAATAAAAACATTTCAAATGAATCTTTGGCCTCGGTTTAGTCTTTCTTAGAAAATGTTTCAATATCTGGATAAAACGTATTTGCTGTGTTTTTAGTGCGTAGACTTAGACATTTCATTTTTACGGTACATTTTAGTCCATACAGGCCGTAAAATAAGATTTTCTGCTCATCAGAAGCAGTTTTAGCGCCATCTGGTGGTTCAAAAAAGTATGACATGATTACAATGAGCTGAAATTATTCATGTAAACAATTAGCTTGGTGGGTGATGTCATCTAAATGAAAACAATGCATTAGTTTAATCAAATTATTGTAATGCCAACTATTCATCAGAGCTGAAGGAAAATAACCTAGATTCCCTCCACACACACACACACACATTAGGCCTTTTAGAGCAAGTCACCCTCAAATCAACTTTTTTTGTTGATAAACTATATAAATGAGTGTCTAATTGCTCTGTAGACACGTTCAGCCAATAATTTGGCACTTTAGTTAATCTTAGTTAAAATTTAAATAATCTGCCTAAAACTGTCAGCGATGCACCATCGTCCAGCAAAAACTCAGCACTGCATTTGAATTTAAATCTGCCATCGCTATTGGCTAAGAGGTACACTATGATGTTAGATGGTACATTATGATGTCACAATGTCGTGAGTGTGTGTATTTGTTAGTGGCTCCGCCCTCTCGGTCTGCTATAGGCAACAGCATTTGTTGCATTTTTCAAACAGGAAGTGGGAGTTGAGTAGGAATCTGGCAGGGGGTGACTTGCTCTTTAACAATCTTACAACATGGTGGGTAATTATTTCACTGACACCATCATCATTAAGGTAAAATATGGTTTATAAACATTTTAATTTCATGCATCACATCACAGATCAACATTGAATTTTTATCATTGTGCAAAAATGTTTTAAAGAAAATCATCATTTTTTGCCATTTAGTGTTCAAACCCTAGCAGAATGTAATGTGTTACTCAAGCAAGCAATTGTATGTAACACTAATCAATAATATTGTTGTAAAAAAGTTTAATTTAGTAAATAAACTGCTGAGGACCACTCAGGGGTCAGAGTTCACGAGCCTCACAGCCACAGAGCCTAGTAATACAAATCTGGAAAGTGTCTACTTGAGAGACATATTCCATTATTTTTAATCCTGGTGGCTCTTCGAATGGATGGATGGATGTTTTTATAATTGGCGAAATATGGAAGAGTTTATGTTTATGTATTTAGCGGACGCTTTTGTCCAAAGTGACTTAGAGGTGATCCGAAGTGATCCAAAATAGTATTTACTACATAAGAATGGTGCTTCAACGGTAAAGCTTGGTTTATGCTTGACGCATTCACTTTCCGCGCAGTGATGCGGCTCGCGGATGGAACGCGCTTCACAACTCGCAGCTTTTATGGTTTGTGCGGCTCGTCTCTGCGGTGAGCCAATATTCTCCCAAACTGTAGGGGGCAGCATGGAGCACTAGGCATGCACCCAACACTACACCATAGTAGAAGTAGAAATTACTGTTTACAGCATGGCATTTCAGCATTTTTAACAGCGTTCTCATCTTTTCCGACAGTGCGAGCTATTTCTCTCCAAGAATTATTAACTACATGTTGATCACGGTGATCTCTGAGAGCTGAATCATACAAATGTCTGTATTTACGAACCTCTGCCATACTAATTCTTGCCGGTCCACCAAGTTTTTCCGCGTCCGTCCGTCCGCGTGGTTAGAAATTTTCCGAGGTGCGCGTTGCGGAAATTCTGGGCCGTGCGGAGGCGCGTGGTTGTTAAAATGACGCAACTTTTCCGCGAGGAGCTGTGCGGACCTCGCGGACGCGTCAAGCATAAACCAACCTTAAGGAAGCGAGTGCAAAAATTATCCTCAGACAGCAAACTTCAAGAGCAACTCCCCCCCCAAATAAACTTTTTTTTTGCTGATAAACTAAATAAACGAGTGTCTACTCATGCTGCAGACACGTGTAGTCAATAGTTTTGCACTTCAGTGCATCTTAGTTCAAATTGAAATATTCTGACTAAAACTCAGTGTTGCGCTGTGGTTGGGTAAAAACTGCACTGTATTTGAATTTAAATCTGCCACCGCTATTGGCTATGAGGTATGCTATGATGTAAGCTGGTACATTATGATGTCACAATGTTGTGAGCCTGTGTGTGTGTGTATTTGTTAGTGGCTCCGTCCTCTCGGTCTGCTAGGACACAGCATTTGTTGAATTTTTCAATCAGGAAGTGGGAGTTGAGGAAGAATCTGGTAGGGGGTGACTTGCTCTTTAAACAGTATGTTACCACGTAACAATTGTTCTATTTTCTAGATTTTGATTGGTCCGCCTAACGTGGTTCTGCATTTTGACTGGACAAGTGAATTACGGGATGCGGTCTCCTATTGGATACTGTAAATGTAGTTCTTGGCGCTGATTGGCTGAACTGACGAGCTCGTTGAGTCCGGCAAAGTGTCGAACTGCGAACAGGAGAGGAGCTGGGCGAGAAGGAAGTGCTTTTTAAAATGGAAACGTATAAGTAAAACTTCTACTTTCTACAGCTCGACGAGTTAAGGAGGTGAGCAGCTTTGTGTCTGCTGTCACAAACCGGTGAAGCGGAGTGATCTGCACCAGCAGCAAAGCCTGCCTGCCCGGACGGAGAGCGGTGTTTGTTAATCCGCGGAGATCGTCGTTAAAGATGCTCCGGTGATCCTCGTCTGCGTTTACTTAAAACACGAATGTTGTTGTTTTCCGTTAGTCTGTTTAGACAGGTTATCTGTCATGAAACTAGCTGACGCGTGTGTAAACACGATGAGCAGACATCCGTCCGCTCGCGGTGTTGTCCCTGTTAGCTAGTGTTGCACTTGACTTCACTTTCCGTTTAGCACCGTTTTCACGACAAAACGAGACCACGACTCAGAATTCTGACTTAAACGACTTATTAGTGAAATATCCGCCTAATAAAGCAGCATTTAATCTCTTTCAAGCGGTTTGTTTATTTTAAATAACCGCCGTTGCGTTTGTCGTTTACCATTTTACTCAATTACATCACGGAAGCTACTAAAAGTCAAGGTAGCCAATGTGCCACTAGACTTCCGGTGTACAACAAAATAAAAGTCCTTTTATTCCAGTTTCCGGTGTTTTTATTCACTCAATATTTCTTATAAAATTTAAAACAGTTTTAGATTTTGGGGAACAAATCGTATTTCTACTTGTCTAGCACAATATGCCTATTTTTTACAGTTATACTATTATGATAATTTTTCATTTATTATTATAATTATTGTTGTTGTTGTTGTTGTTATTGTTATCATTTCAATGCATTTGATGTGCGAATGAAAATTTTGCTTTGCATCTCACAGGTTTACAGTTAAATACAAAAACGTTTTGTTTCTAGCCCGTCATGCCCGCCCAGCCCCCTGAGAGAGAACCAGAGGAGGAGATGGAGGCAGACGGAGAGTCACAACTCCCCGAGACCAACGGAGAGGTGGAGGAACCAAAGAGGGGTGGAGGAGGAGAGGAAACCATGGAGGAAAGCACAGAGGAGCGGGAGAGTGATATGGAAGAGAGTGAAGAGGAGGAAGAGGAAGAGGAAGAGGAGAGTTCAGGTACAACCTGAGGGTGTCACTAACCTGTTTGTTACACAGCAACGATGGGCAGAAATAAGATGTTATTTTGTCGTGTGAAGAGATGGATGATGAAGACTGTGAACGGAGGAGAGGAGAGTGTCTGGATGAGATGATGGATCTGGAGAAACAGTTTCAGGAGCTCAAAGAGAAGTAATTTAAATAAAACATACATTTATTCTTACAAAAGGACTAAAAAATCATGTATGTTGTGTCAAGTCTGGCCACAAATGTTTAGTGTTGATCATATTTTAGACTAAATTAGGTTACTGG